ATTGGCCGAAGATTACGATGATGGTGCGGCTAATTTGGGATTGGAATTGGATAAGAATTTTAATCCTGATATTATTTGGGAAACAAGTTTTCTTGCTCTCCAAGAAGTAGGGTATTGACGGAAGCCTATAAAAGGAGGATTAGGGATTTATTTTTACAACAGAACTTGACCGAAAAGTCACCGAAACCTTACAACCGCCGCTGCTGCTCACCACTTCTCCTCCTTGCCGCAGCAAAACCACCAACGGCAGCCACCTTCCCCCTCTTCCTCCTTCACCGAACCTCCACTCCCACCAGCACCTTGCTCCCTTGCTCACACACCATCATCGCCGTGCAGCACCACCTAGCCTTCTCCTCCACACCACCGAAGCAACCGCAAAGCGAGCAGCAACCGTCAGGGAGTTTTTGGCGGTTTTTGGCTTCATTCGGGTTTTGGAGTTTTAATTATTTAATTTATTTATTTTTATTATGTCTCTAAATATTATTGAATTATTTTTAATAATGTTTAGTGGCTAAATTCTTTTAATCTAGGGCTTGGGTGTAGCCACCGAATTTATTTGGTTTATTTGGTTCATTATTATTTGATTTTTTCTATTAATTAATATTTGTTATTCTTGTTTTAATTCGTGTAAGTAATTGGCCATTATTTACATGTCTGAAGATATTAATCGAAGTAGCGAGAGTGGAAGATTAGTATTAGTTCGTAGGAATAATAGACTTAGGTTGTAAGGTAAGAGAGTAAGATTATAACCTTTGCAATATTTGATTCTTAATGGTCTTAATGTACTGTTGTTAATCCCTATAGTCACGAGAGTAGTCATAGGGTTAATCTAAGTAAGAGAATTATAGCGCGAGAGTGTATAGTTCTTAATTAGGTGAATCGTTGTGAGATTAATGGAGGTTAAAAGTCAAATACTTATGAACTGAACTAACCCAAATATTCGGTAGGTGAACCCAATGTCCTAGGTTTTCTTTGTCTGATTATTTGAATTAATATTATTTGCCTTTATTTTATTTATTTATTTTAATTTTAAATTTTATAAATCTGAGATCATCATTTATCTAGATAATAATAGGAGTAATTTATACCTTGTAATTAGTATTCATTTTCTGTGGGATCGACCCTGCTTTCTGCTTTACTACTAGTAATTGTATTAAGTAGGTAATTAATATTTGACTAGTGTGACGACGGCTTGTCAAATTTGGCGCCGTTGCCGGGGAAGGCAGCAGCTAATATCGAATTTAGATTACTTTCTTTTATTAGTTTAGATTTGTTTTTTTTTTAATTATTTTATTTATTTTATTGTCGTACTATTTTAGTGATTTCTTTTAAATATTTTTGTCTTATTTTTATATGCGAAGTGCTAATTCTGAGACTTTGCAATTTGATCCAGAGATAGAAAGAACAGCTCGTGCGAACAGAAAAGAAGCAAAACTAAGAAAAGAGAAGAATCAGAGTGAAACCATGGGCGACAGAGTAAACACTCGGACACTGAGGGATTACTTTACACCTACGGAGAATGTTGCTAGGTCAAGTATTACTAGGCCTACAATTGCTGCGAATACCTTTGAGCTCAAGCCAGCATTGATCCAGATGGTGCAGCAGAATCAATTCTCCGGTTTTAACAATGAGGATCCAAATGCGCATATTGACAACTTTTTGGAGATCTGTGATACTGTTAAGATAAATGGTGTGACGTCAGATGCAATCCGGCTGAGACTTTTTCCTTTTTCATTGAGGGGAGAAGCGAAGAATTGGTTGAATACTTGCGATCTTGGTTCCATCACAACTTGGGATGAGCTTTACAAGGAATTCCTGATCAACTTCTTCCCACCACATAAGACAGCGAAATTGAGAAATCAAATTACTGGGTTTATTCAAGAAGATGATGAGACATTTCATGCTGCATGGACAAGATTCAAGGAATTGCAAAGAAGATATCCTCACCATGGTATTGAGAAAAGTACTCTAGTTCAGACTTTCTATCAAGGATTGACAGACTTTGCAAGAAACAATGTGGATGCTGCAGCTGGAGGTTCATTAATGGATAAGTCAATTGATGATGCCTATGAATTGTTTCAAACTATGGCAAAGAATAGGAATCAATGGTCGAACTCAAGAAGTGTTTCCAAGAAGCCTGCTGGAGTGTATGAAGTCAATGAACTAAGTACCATGAACGCAAAGATAGATGCACTGACCAAGGCGATGGATAATCTTGTAAATACTAATGCAGTCTTCCATGCCACTGTCTGTGAGTTCTGTGGAGGTCCTCATTTGAGTTCTGAATGTATGCAATTGACAAATGCACAATATGTCTCTAATTTCAGCAAGTCTCAACAACAGAACAATCCTTACTCCAATACTTACAACCCTGGTTGGCGAAATCATCCAAACTTTTCTTGGAATAATCAAGGGGCTCAAGACTTTAATGCAAGACCTCAAAACCCTCCTGGTTTCCAAGCAAAGTCATACCAATCTGCACCTAAGTCAGCAACGGAGGCAAGTTTGGAGAGAATGGAGAAATTGTTGAGTGAAAACACTGAACGGTCTAACAGAATAGAAGCAAGGTTAGATCAATTGACTACTGCTCATAGAACCTTGGAGATGCAAGTGAGTCAAATGACCTCCGCCATGAATACTCGTGGGCAAGGTCAACTGCCAAGCAAGTCTGAAATCAACCCTCGTGAAAATTGTAGTGCTATCATGTTGAGAAGTGAGAAGCAGTTGGGTGACAAGGAGGAACCAAAGACCACTGAAGTGAATGTGACCACTGATGAGAAGAAAGTAGAGAGTAAGCAGATTAATGAAGAAAAAGTGGAGAAAGTGGAACAAGAAGAACAAAAGATATATGTGCCACCACCGCTTAAACCTTATGTTCCATCAGTGCCTTTTCCGCAGAGATTGCATCGAACAAAGCACGATAGGCAATTTGAGAAATTTCTTAAAGTTTTTAGGCAATTACACATAAACATTCCTTTTGCAGATGCTTTAGCTCAGATTCCAGCTTATGGGAAGTTCTTGAAGGAGATCATCTCCAACCGAAGAAAAGTGAAAGACTTTGAGACAATTGCATTATCTGAGGAGTGTAGTGCTGTCATTCAGAGAAAGTTGCCTCCAAAATTGAGTGATCCAGGGAGTTTCTCTATTCCTATCTCTATGGGTGATGTTTGTTTTGATAAAGCTTTATGTGATTTAGGTGCTAGTATTTCATTGATGCCTTTATCTGTTTGTAGAAAGCTTGGGTTGAAACATTTGAAACCAACTAACATCACTTTGCAGTTAGCTGATAGATCCATAACTCATCCGAAAGGAATTTTGGAAAATGTGCTGGTAAAAGTGAAGAAATTTATATCCCTGTTGATTTTGTTGTGTTAGATATGGAAGAAGATGCTAATGTGCCAATTATTTTAGGTCGACCATTTCTAGCCACAGCTGGTGCTGTTATAGATGTTAAAAAGGGGAGTTTAAAATTTCATATTGGAGAAGAATATGTGGAATTCACTTTTTCTGAAAATTACAAATGCCCTGCATTTACTTATCATGTGTTTAGAGTAGATTCTGTTAAGGAGCCAGATAAAAATGATGTGTTTATTGCTAATTTTAATGACCCTCCTGACAAGTGTATCAGTGATGTAGGTGCAGTTGGAGACGAAAGAAGAATGATGTATCAAAGGGGTTCCCACTCTTTGATTGAGCGTCTACCTGATTGATCAGCCATATAGTCCGGCTCATGACTTTAAAGAAGCGCTTATTGGGAGGCAACCCAATTCTTTATTTTGTTTTATTTTTCTTTTTCTTTCATAAATAAGTTGATGGTTAAGTTTTTTGTTCCTGATTATCTGGAGATCTTTGATTTCTAAATTTTCGTGGTTTTTCTTAATCATATGTTTTTAGGTTTGTTTTTCTAATTTATTTTAGTTTGCAATTAGGTTTGTTGGACAGGCGAAACTCTGGTGTCCAATGGTGCTGAAAATGAAACATCCAAAATTCTGAAGAAGTTGGTCGTGTGCTTGAATGACAGTTGCAACAATTTATTCAACAATTCCGGTCCTCTGCTTCACATTCCCAAGGTTGTCTCGTTTCTTTTCATTTTTTTTGTTTTATGTCTTTTCTTTTCTTTTCACTTGGTTGTCTTGCCTTTTGTATTTTATACATTGAGGGCAATGTATACTTTAAGTGTGGGGGAGAGGAATGCGTTTTGTGTTTATCTTTCTTAAATAAAAAAACCCATAAAAATTGAAAAATTGAAAAATCCAAAAAGGCCTAGGATGAAGATGGTTTGATTATCTATAACATGTAAGAATTAGACTATTTTGAATTGTATTGCTTAACTTATGTATTTCTGTATGTTGCTTTGAATACCATGTTTCTTTTGCACTTAGTCGTGACTGTGGGATAAGCCTAAAGTGAGATATAGTTGCATAAGTTTGATGTAGATATGCCATGAAAAGTTGTGTTTGATTCACTCATACTTATATGATTTGTATGTGGAACCCATCATGTTGTGAAGGAAAAGCAAAACATTAACCCAATATCAGCCTTAAAAAATCTTATTGCTTTGACACTTTGTGTTAAGTAAGTTTGGGGGAGGGGTGTTGGCGGATGCTTCTGAGGTTAGGTAAATTTTAATGAGGGAGAAAAAGAAGAGCATTCAATGTTGATGCTAGTTAAAATTATACTCCCTGTTAAAACAAACCAATCACCACTACACATATACTCCCTCCCATAATTATTGTGCATTTTGGATTTTCATTTCTAGTTAAAATTATACTAAAAGTGAAATCTTAAACTGGATAATAATTTTAGGACAGAGGGAATATAAAATTCCTGTCTCTTTTTTCCTACAAAAAAAATATTTAAAAAAGAAACACTTTGCAATATTTTTAAAGTAGGCATGTATACACCAGAAAAACATTTCTTAATAGATGAATATAATTCTTCAAATATTAGAACTGAAAAAGAAGAGGGCAAAATTTCTCGAATTAAGCTACTACGAAATTATGTTACGGGATCATCGAAGATGTGACAATCTAACACACACGTGGCGAATCATTAGACTGAAGACATAATCTGATAATTACAATTTACATAATGACAATTTAGTATATGGGTTTTTTTTAGTATAAAGACAACGAGGGCCTCTTAGCTCTCGTCACTCAATTAACTCTTTCTTCTTCTTCACAGTTCACATCCTCTGTTTCACTCAACTGTGTGACTGTGTGTTTTCATTTTTCTTCCGAAATTGTGTAAAAATGGCGACAGAAGAAATCAAGGTTCCGAGAATCAAGCTGGGCTCGCAGGGATTTGAAGTATCAGCTCAAGGGCTGGGGTGCATGGGCATGTCCGCCTTCTACGGCCCGCCCAAGCCCGAACCCGACATGATCAACCTCATCCACTATGCTATTGAGCGAGGAATCACCCACCTCGATACCGCCGAAACCTATGGCCCTCACACCAACGAAATTCTCGTCGGCAAGGTGAACTTCCAACCAGTATTTTTCTGTATATATGTTTTCTGTCCTGCTTTACTACAGATGCCCTGTTCAAGCATAAAAGCTGTCTTTTAGGTGTTTGTTTGTTGGTTTGTTAGTACCTTTTCAATTTTCAGAGCCTGAAAGGGTTGGAGAGAGTTGGGTTTATGTTAATTTTAATTTTTTTTTACTTAAATTGTGCAAAATATTGTTTATTGATTTATGGTTTAAAAAAAATTTGAAGACACAAAGTTGACCCCTTTGGGAAATCCGCATATGTTTTGAAGCTTTGGTTGTTGATTAATTTACCAATTATGTTTTTGTTTTTTGTGATTTAAAGTAATTTCCATATCCTGTTTTCAATCCCTGAGCTTTTTTAATTAGATGTTAAAAGAAATGGCCGTTTAACTAGGAAAAAGTAAATTTCAGTTGTAGATGGATCGTTATTAATAGCTAAGATTGTAAAGAATTCCACGTACATGCACTTATCTAGATGGTGGAAATGGGAAGAACTCAGAAATTAGTCCAGATAATGGCTGTATTAAAGAGAATAATATTACTTGCCTGAAACAATCTGTATGGGGCAACCGGCTGCATTTATGGTGATTTTTTAAAGATGTTACAAAACTTGTGTTCAGGCTCTGAAAGGAATCCCAAGAGAGAAGGCGGAGATTGCATCAAAGTGTGGGATCAAAATTGTGGATGGGAAACGGGAGATTTGTGGTGAACCGGCCTATGTACGAGCAACACTTGAAGCCAGTTTGAAGAGGCTTGGTATTGACTGTATTGATCTTTACTACCTGCATCGCATCGATAAAACTATACCAATTGAAGTCACGGTTCGATTCAATCTCTTTATCAAGTTATTTATAAGCTTCTCTCTGATGAAATGAACCTTCATATATGTTTCAGCCTATGAGTTCATAATATGATCTGAATGAAATGAATACTTCTCACTGTCTGCAAATAACTGAAAACTTAGTTTATTGAAAATGATTTTGATATTCTTTCGTGTTTTGAGTGTTTTCCCTTTTGAATTGAACAATTTAAGTAGAGATATAAAAATGTCTATTCCAAATGTAAAAGGTACATTAAATACTATGACGAAAGACCAAACCAACATCAAGTTCACAAAAAAACAGGGCCAAAAATTTTCTTTCACAAAGCACCTGATTTTTGCATTATTTTTTCCTGTAATTATGTTTTTCCAGATCGGAGAACTTAAGAAGCTTGTTGAAGAGGGTAAAGTAAAGTATATAGGTTTATCTGAGGCCTCACCTTCAACCATTAGAAGGGCACATGCTGTTCATCCCATAACAGCAGTACAATTGGAATGGTCTTTGTGGTCCAGAGATGTGGAAGCAGAAGTAATTCCCACTTGCAGGTATTGGATTTGTTTGCATTAGTACCTGCAGGTGTTTGCTGGAACTAATAAAATTCTAAAACCATTTCGTTTTTAATCTTTTAGAGAACTTGGCATCGGCATCGTCTCATACAGCCCACTTGGAAGAGGATTTTTCTCATCTGGTCCTAAGCTACTTGAGCATATGGAGGAAGGTGACTTCAGAAAGGTACTTTTACTCTCTGGAGAAAGTCTCTAGGCCAAGTTAGATGTTACATATTATGAGTTAGTTTCTTTGAACAAGTCCAATCTTGTCTACTCGAGCGTATATTCAATAACAAGTCGTTGTCATACTATGTAGGCTGGTTAGAGGATCATGTCTTTTCTTGTGTTATGTCAACAAACATTTTCTTAACTGGGTTTAAATATAAATAGAAACTATTGAGTAATTTAGGTTCGAATCTAATCCAAAAATCTTTGTGGAGTAACTTTGATGATTGCATCTACTTAGGAATCAATTTCCTATTTGATATGCTTGATGTTGGCTCTGTTACAAGAAAGATGACAATATTTAAAAAGCATTATGAGGAATGTTGTTCAAGAGGGCTGAGCAACTTATGTATAGGCGATACTAAGAGAGGATTAGTGCTGTATATTATTATAATGTAAAGATATCCAAGAAATTGCATAAAACAAAAGCCATCATGCATTAGGATTAAGTGTAAGTTTTCAAGATACTACATTCCCCTAAGTACTGCATTTAAGATAGCAAGTAGCGAGACTTAACAAGAGAATCAATCTTGAAAATTACAAAGAAAAAAGAAAGAAGCAAGAACATCTAAATTTGAACAAGGAAGATGTTCGTGATTTCGTTTTATTTAATCTTCGATTCAAGCGTATTGAATTATCAACATGTTACCAAAATATGTCTAGAGCCTTACACTAGAACCAAGTCTTACTAACTACTACATATTACTCCCACTGTTTCAAAATGATTGTCTAGTTTGGATTTTCACTATTACTGCAATTTGAATTAGAAATAGAAATGAAAAATTCAAATTTCACCATCGTTTTGAGATGGAGGGAGTAGTATCGAATCCAGGCGTTGAGATCAAAGTAGATCCTAAAGTGGCATGTTTGTTCAATTTTCTTAGACGAACTGAAGTGGCATTACCTTTGGTAACTAAAGTTGCAATTCTTGACAGTACATGCCAAGGTTGCAAGCAGAAAATTTGGAGCATAACATGAAGTTGTTTCACCGGGTAAATGACTTGGCTGCCAAGAAGGGTTGTACTCCATCTCAGCTTGCATTAGCCTGGGTGCATCATCAGGGGAATGATGTTTGTCCAATACCCGGCACAACCAAAATTGAGAATCTGAAGCAGAACATCGGAGCCTTGTCTGTAAATCTCACGGCAGAAGACATGGCTGAGCTTGAAACCATTGCTTCAGCTGATGTTAAAGGTGACAGATATGGTGCTGGCATTGCTACTTGGGAAACTGCTGATACACCACCTTTGTCAACATGGAAGGGCATTTGAAAAGTTTCATCTGTGGTGCTTTGCTACTTCTAGGCTCTAGCTACAACATCTTCATCTCTGGTGTATCTCTCTTTTTTCGGAGTTGTGCAAATTTGGATTGTAATTCAAATAAGTTGCTGTAGTACTTGATGAAATGTGCCTTTTTCCCTTAATAAGGTAAGTGCATTTACAGTGGCATAGTCGTATTTGGAGTTCGTAATTTATTAAAAATTTATCTTTATCATATGAGCAATGAGAATTTGCATACCTTTTACTTCACTTTCTAATAATCTACTCTATTAGTTTAGACTGTCTGTTGTGGAAATTTTTTGGATACAAAGCATTGAGAATAGGATAGCTCATGATTTAGATACGTAACAAGTAACAAGAATGGTAAAAAGTAAAAACGGACATACATGTTGGTCAAACGTATTCGACCAAATTTGTGAGCATTTATAAAAGTTCTCTTTTATCCAAAAGAAAAAAAATAATAAAATATAAACAATTAAAATGAGACGGAAAGATTTATAAAAGTTGTCTTTGTCCAAAAAAATAAAAATAAATATGGACTGAACGACATGGCCAAACTTATACTAGGTACCCAATTTTAAATGGATAAACACTAGTTGTGATGCGAAAATGTGGACACATATCATCACATACTCTGTAAACGTGACCTAAATTGGAATCATTTCTTAATTTTTTTTTTCTTGTAAATTGTCATGTATTTATTAATCTTTTTAAACAAATCCTTTTTTCCTTTCTGAAATGAATGTCTATTATTATTATAACTAGGTTCTCTCCCGTACGTTGTACGGATATATTAAAATGATATTAGTTGTGAAGAAAATACAACGTACTCGATTAATTGTTGATTATAAAATAAAATCTAAAGAAAAATGGATAAAGAATAAGTGAACAATAAAAAATGAGGTAAAAAAAAGACAGTGTGAAAATTAAGTGGTATTAGTATTATTATAATTTAAATTTTTTTGAGCTTAAATATAAGAAAAATGTTTCTCTTAAATTTTTTTTTTTTAGTTTTATCAGTTAGATTTTAATATGTTTTTAATAAAATGGATATTACAATGATTGATTTTCAATATAAGAAGAATGCCTTGTATTTTCTCGTCATTTTACTTGAGAAATTTCAATTTTTTTAAAAAAAAAACGATTGGCATTAGAGTGATTCAATTTGGATGTTAAAAATATATTTCATTTGTTTTTATCGTAATTTTACCCGTGAAATTTCAACAATTTTTTTTTATCATATACGGCGCCGTTTTTTTTTTCTGAAAATAAAATATTTAATTGGACATACATAATTAAAATTTTCTATCTGAAAATAGAATGAGCTGATTTTTACGGAGAAATGATTTCTTTCAGTAAACCAGCTTCATAGTTGACTAAGAGATCATTCAGAATTAATGCATATTAATGGTATGATTTTGATTGTTTTATATTTTTTATTTGGTCAAAGATTTCATTAATTTCGAGACAATAAATAGTAAAGTCAATAATATTTTTTTCTTATAAAGGGATGGAACGTTTCAGTATAATTAGGTGAGAGAAAAATTAGTTTTTTTTTTTTTTTATAAAACTACGTCGTTTTTGCTGGGCGGAAAACGGATGCATGAGAGCGCGAAACACAAGTTTTTTTTTTTTTTCTCTTGAATTATTGTTTTAATAAGATATATAGATTATGTGGGGTAAAGGGATCGTATTTTTGAGAACGAGTCTCATTACCGTTTTTGGAACAATACATCTGAAGACCTCAAAGTACAGTAATTAGACCATTAATATATTCTCCTTTGTTTATCTTATTCCTAAGAATTATATATTTTGTAAACACGTCATATAGTAATTTGATTTCGAACCTTAAGAAAATAGAATGGAAGGCCATTGAGAATCATGTTTTATTCTGGAGCACTCTTTTTCTCAAAATCCAAAAACAAAAATAAACCAGGGGATGCGTGTTAGTGGGAGAATTTACCTTTAAAAAATAAATCAATCTCACTCTAATATGAATTAATTAGAATTGTGATATTTTTTTTACATAGCGTAACGTACTAATAAATCGTCATAATAATCATTGCTCTTGGGCTTCAAGTTTCAGCTAAAGAGTTGGGCTGCATGAATGGGTACAAATGTCTGATCAAACTCATCCATTTGGCCATTGGACGAGGAATCACCCACCCAATTAATATATAGAGCACTCGATCTCCCTCACTAGGGAATTTCAGGTTTAACAGCACGTGCAACCCACCTTTTACCTCAAACTCAGTATCTACAACAACTTATTCGCATCACCACCCTCCCACTTTGCACGTTCAAGCGCAGCAACTTTATTCCTTTCATCAGTGACAGTGTAATTAAGATCGGAGAGCCGTGACCTTGATTGCTCAACATCCTGTACCCATTCGTAAGGCCGATACCATTCTCTTTCATCTTTGCCAAATAATGACAATCTCGTAAACGAACCAAATTTCATTAATAGAACTATCAACAAGAAAGTATGTTTAAAAGTGAAACACTAAATAAGTGCGAAATTTTCACAAATAAACTAGACCGTTGAAAAGAATTCTTATACTTTATGAACTCAAACAAAAGATCATAACACATTGATGTTCGGATTGCACATTGACCGTTAAATTTCTGATAAAGTTTTGTCTTTTATTTTTGTGTTCGGATTGCACCTATTGATGTTCAAATTCAATAACTCGTTGATTACAATTTAATTAATCGACGTTACAAGTTTTACTGTAGTATTCTTTTCAATACATTGCCGCCTGTTTTGTGATTTATATATGCGCATTTCATCATCATTAATTTCAGTAATTATTATATACTACCAATTTTAGGTGTTCAGAAATAATTTCTTCCACGGAACATCCAAAAAACTACTGAAAATGGTCCAGTACAAACTCTAGGGATCTCCTGCTCTCATCCTTCAGCAAAGCAAGGATAAATTGTGAAGTCAATATTTAAACTCCAAGTTCACTTCAGCCTTTAATTGCAGCAAACAATTTAGATGCCTTTTGTCATGTATCAAGAATGGCTTTCTAACTCCGTGTAAAAGATCATGAATTTATATATCTTCTTGATCACCCAAAATTTATTTACAAAATTGTGTCACTCTGAAGAATAAGACATAATTTTTTCATCAAGTTACACATGGTCAATTACTAAGAATTATTAACAACTAATACATAAAATACTTACTAGCTCGGTAGCTTAATTTGGTAAATATGGTTTTGACTGGATTGTTCGGTAATACATCAATTTCTTTGGTAAAATGTGATTGTATCTCTTTGGTTTTGTTTTAAAAGAAAGAGAAGAATATTGTAGTATTATCTTTGGTCTACCGAATAATATTCAGATGTAGATGCCAATATTAGGAACAATATATTGTATATACTTACCGAAATCACGAAGAGCTGTGTCCCGAGAACTTCTTCCCACTGTTCAATCCCTCATCATTTACATCTTATGTCCCAAAAAATAATTCAAAATTAATATTCAAATATTCCTTTTGTTCTTTCAAGACTCAATATCAACTAATTTTTTTAGAACATATGGAATACTTGCAATGTTGTTTGAAGATATGGGGAGTACCGACATCGGTGTTGTGAAGATTGTGACGACAATCATTTGTATTCTCATTGAATTCATGACTTAACAAACAGGAAACTAATATAAAAGAGTAATATAAGAAAGTTATGGGTAACATATATCATGCCCTCTATAGGAACGATATATAACTATGTCAATAGAGCTGCTAAAATTGTCAGCTCCTAACATACATACGATAATAGGACACAATCAATGATATTAATAACTGACTACAATCATGGAGGTAGAAAACTCAACTCATTATGGGGAAGAACACATGCAAAAACTAGCTAAGGACAAAATTTCAATTCTTCAACTTCATCATATGACGCAACCAATCAGTATGGAAATAACTAATCACGCAAGTTGCCAACCCGAAAAGGAAAAAATGAAATAATATCCTCTTATTCGAAATGATTGTCCGGTATAAATTTTTATTTTAACACTAATTATTTTTTAAAAAATTTAACAAGATAACTATTTTAGGACATAAGAAGCAATAGCGAACAAAATCAAACAATTTAACGAGTAGTGAGCCCGATGTAAGGGGTTAAATCTTTGGTATAAGCATGATGTGATAAGAGTCATGCATTTGTTCACAGTGTGATTTTATATATTGTAAGTTATTCATCTCTCTTTTTTTTTTTTTTTAACAATTTTAGCTATGATGAAATTCCTGAAGCCGTAGCTCCTCTTTTGCCCATAACGGCTAACCCACTTTATATCAAATCCTCCCTATAAATTCAACTAAAAATTCATAGAGAAAACCATCCCTCTTGGGACCTTTATTGTTAAAGGTGGACTGATCGATCACCTCGAGCTAGCTGCTAATTTCCAGAGCACCTATCAAGTATCAACAAGTAACAACAATGGTGGCATCAATGAGGTCGCTTTTTCTTGTGATTTTGCTCACACTTTCGCTAGGTAATCAATGTCACCGCCATTTCTTTTTCCCCATGAGTCATAGCTGAAAAAATAACAATTTGCTTTCCTATTTGATTTTTGTCGAAAACATGTTAATTTGTATATAATCCATTAATAATGTAGGTAACTTATAATTAAACAAACACAATCTCACTGTTTGTTATTGGCTTTAGATTCACATGCAACAGAAATCCCGAGAAAAATCATTCGATGGCATGATCCGCCACCTCGTCCATGCAATCCTCCGCCACCTCCTCCGTGTCATCCACCACCGTCACCATCACCGCCACCACCTCTTCCTCCAAGTAATCCACCACGCCCACCGCTAAGTCATCCTCCACCGCCACCATCGCCATCACCACTTCCACCAAGTCATCCACCACCGCCACCATCACCTCCACCACCTCCTCCTCTAAGTCATCCACCACCACCACCACCACCACCTCCTCCTCCAAGTCATTCACCACCGCCACCATCACCACCACCACCACCTCCTCCAAGTAATCCACCACCACCACCACCGCCACCAACGCCATCACCACCTCCACCAACTCATCCACCACCGCCACCATCACCACCACCACCTCCAAGTAATCCACCACCACCACCACCGCCAAGTCACCCTCCACCGCCACCAACGCCGTCACCACCTCCGCCAAGTCATCCACCACCGTCACCACCTCCGCCAAGTCATCCACCACCGCCACCATCACCACCACCTCCTCCAAGTAATCCACCACCACCACCAAGTCATCCTCCACCGCCACCATCGCCATCACCACCTCCACCAAGTCATCCACCACCACCACCTCCTCCAAGTAATCCACCACCGCCACCTCCTCCTGGTTGTGGCTGTTACGGCAAATGGCCGTTTCATGTGCCTCCGGTCCACTTTAAGTGCCATGTTGAAAGAGCAAATTGCCCATGCATGGTCGGATATACAGTGTGTTGTTCCGTTGAAGTGCCAAAAGGAATGAAAAAAGTAAGATTTGAAACACCTGGTGTTTGCATATACACACCTTCTTGATTCTACTCAATAGACGGATTCATTTACAACTTCGGGCCGGCCATAATGTTACACTCCTTTCATCATTGTCATTATTATGCGAATTTCTCTCGTTCCAAAATAAACATCATATTTATGTGTATTAATTAAACTCGTATGGAGAGTAGTGACTCTTTACTTCTGACGTTGTCAGTACGTCTTTTTCTCTGTGTATCTTGGCTCCTGGTCACAAAATCAGTTCCAACTTCCAAATAATAATTTTAATTTTTTTTTCTGTGGTGTTTGTATAATATCTATATATCTACAATAAAAATTCGGTCTATTTGTGAGTAATACGATCTTCTCTTTCTATTCCGAAATGTTTATTTGTTTTTATTTTGTTAGAACAATAAAAAGCACAATAACAAATTCAGTTTAATGTTTTTTTTTTACCAAAAATCAGTAAATTACATCGTTAACTGCAGGGTGAAAAAAGGTGTAAAGCAACAGAGAGAAGAAATACTTGCTTTTGTATTTGGTTTTATTTGAAGTACTTTTAAGTCCTTCGATATTTGATCTATTATCTTTATTACTACTACTTAGTTTTGACTTGATTGTTGGGAAATGCATCAATTTATTAGATAAATGTGCTTTTCGTAGATTGGATTGCGTCTAAATTAATTAGTTCAAATTCCTATATAAGTCGGTAAATTCCGGACTATGTAGAAAAATACCTTTTTTTTTTTGACGAAACAGGAGGATTTCATTAACTTACTGGAAAAAGGTCCAGTGCCTATTGATATCATTGGGTAGAGACAAAGCTCAAACTCGTAGAGTTCAGGTTAACACAAACATTAGCTTCTTAACTAAAAAAAGCAGGAGGTGTGAACCAAATTTTTTCAGCAGCATCAGAGCTTTTGGAAAACGGGCTAGTTCATGAGCAAAAGTGTTCTCAGAACGGTCTATCCAGTAGAAGCCAATGGATGGGATAATTTATTGCCAGTCGAGAGATATCTTCTAGGATTGGTGAGCATGAGGGAGGATCAATGTCACCACGAGCAGTAAGGATGGTAAGACAAGAATCTCCAAGTATTGCAAAATTAGACAGTTGGAGATTCTGGCATAATAACATGGCTTCACGTAAAGCAAGGGTCTCAGAAAGTTCAGGCTCAACAATTCCCGGCAGTTTCTTTGAAATACCACGTAGAAAAGTACCATGTTCGGATTGGATAAGAACACCAGCGGCTCCACATTTTTGAGTGGAGGAGATGGCACCATCAAAGAAGATTTTAGTTGAGTTATCAGGTGGAGGAGTGTAGAAACTATTGTACATAATTAGCATGTAAATTGTAGTTGTTGTATAGTTAAAGGGCTTATTTCTAAATAATTGTATAGGCAGTTAGTTTAGTTGTGGCCGGTTAGATTCTATATTTAATAAGTCGGTCTCTTTTTTCTTGTACAGATTGAACAATTTGAGACTTAATACAGAATCCAAAATTCCCCAAATATGAAAACCCAATTCAACCATTGTAGAAGGAGAAAGTGAAGGCATCAAGCATAAAGAGGGATCACTTCTTTCTGGGCTATGAGAAGATTTGGCGACAATCGGCGACAATGCAAAATCGGCACTAAGAACGGTTGTCCAAGGAGTAGATTTTTTCTGATAAAAAAGAGCAGCATTACGGGCATGCAGAGGGAGAGGAGAGGTCTAAGAGTGTTTCAATAGCCCACTGACCACATAAAGGCTGTTGATGCTCAGATACTTTTGAGTATAGACCTGCAATTCTTAAGGTTTGGATAGCAAAGGACATTCAAAAGAGACGTCACCAGGAAGGGGGGAGAGTGAGCAAAGTGGTCAAGAATCATTGAAAACCAAGTGTCTCGATGAGAGATTTGACGGTGTTCCAAGCGAATTCCTGCAAAGACGCCAAGCAAAGAGGAGAAGCCGATTTGGAAGTTTGAGTTTCCAGATTTTCTTCCAGATAGATGATAGGACATTGTTGCTAGTGGTAGGTCTTGTAGAATTGAGCAGAGCAAAATATGCAGACTTCACAGTGAGTTTACCCGACTTGGTGAAGTGCCAAATCCAACGATCCGGACGCAGTGATTGAGGGAGAGCCATGGAGAGAATTGAATCAGCTTAAACCGGTGGGAAAATCGAGCAGACTAAGGCAGCATTCCAAGAGCCACCATTATCAGACATGAGGCAGGACACTTTCGCAGAAACCGGGAGGTGGTTGGGCAGAGTTGAAGTCGGGCCCGAGTTCCCCTCAAATTGGGCCAAGCAGTGATTGAAACCAAATCAATTTGGTTTTAGGAAACAAAACCCACTCCAATTGGGTTTTTTTTTGCTCTATAAAAGCAAGGCTTTGGCATAATTTTTAGGTGTGTGTTTTCAGCCAAGAAGAGAAGAAAAGTTTGGGCAGCCGTGCACTGTTTTTGTACGAGAGGAAAAAGAAAGAGAACTAGGGTTTAGTTTTCGGTTTAACTCTCTTTTGGTTAGATCCTTCCAATCCTACTCTGTGATAGGTATTTTGGAAGAGTACTGTTGTAATCCACCTTTGGGTGAAGTCCTGTGTATCCACCGGTTGGTGAAGACTGTGTTTTCAATATTGTGATAGTGGAGATTTGATTGTGGTTACAGTCCCGTGGTTTTTCCCGATTTGGGTTTCCACGTAAATTCGTGTGCCTCCTTTATTTTATCAGTTCTTGAATTAGTTGCTTGGTTGGTTGTTCTATTTTGTTGGTAGTAGGAAAGGAGTTTTTCTTGGGGTTCGCTTCCGTGGTTTGTTGTGTTTATACCCTTTCCACCACAACAGTGGCATCAGAGCTACGGTTCGGTAGTTGAGGTGTTACACCAATAAAATGGAAGAGTCATCGGATACTAGTACGGTGATTAAATTGACTTCATCCAATTATCATATGTGGAAGCCTAGAATGGAAGACTTGTTGTATTGCAAAGATTTGTTTGATCCTGTTCTAGGGGATGAAGGTAGGCCAAGTGATATGACTAATAAAAAGTGGACCGATATGCACAGGAAGACTGTTTGTAATATTCGACAGTGGATTGATCAAAGTGTGTTTCATCATTTTTCGGGAGAAACAAAACCTGATGAACTTTGGGAGAAAATCCAGAATATGTACTGGAAGAAGTCCGGCATCAATAAGTCATCTGCGCTGAAACGGATTACCAGGTTGAGGTATAAAGATGGTGCTAGCATGAATGAGCACTTGAGTTCGTTTCAGGGTTTGTTGAACCAAGCTGTGAATGTAGGTTTAAAATTGGATTATGAGGTGCAGGCTTTATTATTGTTTAGTTCTCTTCTAGACAATTGGGACACTTTGGTAGTGTCAATCAGTAATTCAACCCAGGATGGTATCTTGACCTTGGATCAGGTCAAAGAGGCTTTGATGAATGAAGAAGTCAGAAGAAAAGAGCAGAGTATTGAGTCTGAGTCGCAGGCTTTGGTGACAGAAAAGTCAGATAGAAGAGGGAGAAGTAAAAGTAGAGGACCACGTGATCGAAATGACAAGTCCAGGGAACGGTCTAAATCCAAGAAAGATGTCGTGTGCTACCATTGTCAAGGGAATGTGCACTTTAAGAGGGAGTGCAGGGTTCTCAAGAGAGAACTAGCAGCGAGAAAAGGTAAAGGCAAGAAGGATGAATCAAGTGATGATGACACTTCTGCAGTAGTAACTACCAGTGATGTATTTGTGTACAGTGATGATGATACAATTAATGTTGCGAGTCACGACAGTGATTGGTTTAGTGATTCAGGTGTGTCTTATCATGTGACGCCTCACAAACACTTCTTTACCTCTTACACAGCTGGAGATTTTCGTCGTGTAAGAATGGGCAACCAAGCCTCATGCGATGTTGTCAGCATGGGAGAGGTATCGTTGGTAACGAATGCAGGTTGTACTCTTGTCTTGAAGAATGTCAGACATGTTCTGGATATGCGTTTGAACCTTATTTCTGTTGGTAAACTTGATGATGAGGGTTATCATAGCACTGAAGGTGGTGACCGTTGGACAATTACCAGAGAGAATCTTGTTATTGCTAGAGGAAAGAAGTTGAACTCTTTGTATGTGTTGAATGCAAAGTTGAAGAATGGAGAGGTGAATGCGACTCACAATGCCTCCATTGATCTCTGGCACAGAAGGCTTGGACACATGAGTGTTAAGGGGTTGCAGATTCTTGGTAAGAAGCAATTTCTCCCAGAGGTGAAAGTTACTGCTCTAGAACCTTGTGTTGATTGTATCTATGGTAAACAACATAGGGTTTCCTTTCAAAATTCTCCTCCATCTAGAAAGTCCAGTCCTCTAGAGTTAGTTCATACAGATGTATGTTACATGAAAGATAGGTCGTTGGGTGGAGCATTGTACTTTGTTACTTTCATTGATGACTATACTCCAAAGGTTTGGTGTTTTTCTTTGAAATCTAAAGATCAGGTATTAGATGTGTTCAAAGACTTTCACCTTAGAGTTAAAAGAGAGACTGGAAAGCAGTTGAAGTGTGTTCGAGCAGATAATGTGGTAAGTACAGGGGTCTGTTTGAGAAGTATTGCCGAGACCATGGCATTAAACTTCAGAAGAGTGTTCTGAAGACTCCGCAGCAGAATGGCGTGGCAGAAAGAATGAATAGAACTATTACCGAAAAGGTTAGGTGTATGCTCTCGAATGCAAAGCTGCCTAAATATTTTTGGGGTGAAGCCATGCAGACAGCAGTTGATTTGATCAACCTATCTCCCTCAGTTCCGTTAGATGGTGATCTACCACAACGAGTTTGGACAGGGAAAGATGTCTCATTTAGGCATTTGCAAGTTTTTGGTTGTCGTGCCTTTGTTCATATTCCCAAAGATGAAAGGTCGAAGCTTGATGGCAAATCCAAGCAGTGTGTATTCTTGGAGTATGGAAATGATGATTTTGGGTACAGACTTTGGGATCCTGTAGAGAAGAAAGTTTTCAGAAGCAGAGATGTGATCTTCTTTGAAGACCAGACCATTGATGATATGGGAAAAGGCGAGATGCCAGAATCTTCACCTGAAATTCCTGTTGATTTAGATCCAGTTCCTCCACAATCAGATGATTCTCCTGAAGGGGGAGCTGAGACAGAGCAGGATGGTGAGTTTAATGATGATCCTGTTACTGAAACAGAGACACCACCGGTTTCATCACCTCCTGTTCAACCTAGGAGATCCACCAGAGACAAGAGACCTTCCACCAGGAACCGTGCTCATGAGTATTTGTTGCTTACTGATGGGGGAGAGCCAAAGTCGTATGAAGAGGTTCTTAGTCATGAGCAGAAAGATCAGTGATTAGCAGCCATGCAAGATGAGATCAAATCCTTGCATGAGAATAACACACATGACCTGGTGAAGCTGCCTAAGGGCAAGAGAGCACTCAAGAATAAATGGGTGTTTAGACTAAAAACAAGTGAAAACAACTCACAACCGAGGTACAAAACCAGATTGGTTGTGAAGGGATTCAATCAGAGAAAGGACGTAAACTTTGATGAAATATTCTCTCCTGTTGTAAAGATGTCTTCAATCCGAGTTGTGCTTGGAATAGCGGCCAACTTGAATCTTGAGATTGAACAGCTTGATGTGAAGACAGCCTTCTTGCATGGTGATTTGGAAGAAGAGATTTACATGGAGCAACCAGATGGGTTCTAGGAGAAGGGGAAAGAAAAGCTTGTATGTCGTCTCAACAAAAGCTTGTATGGGTTGAAGCAAGCTCCGAGGCAGTGGTACAAGAAGTTTGATGCCTTTATGATAGGGCAGGGATACCAAAGGACTACAGCCGATCACTATGTGTTTGTGAAGAAATTCGCTGATGGTGATTTTATAATTCTTTTGCTTTATGTCGATGACATGCTGATTGTTGGTCATGATACTGCAAAGATTGCCAGGTTGAAAAAAGAGTTGAATAAATCCTTTGCGATGAAGGATTTGGGTCCGGCTAGACAGATCCTTGGGATGAAGATTTCTCGTGACAGACAGAAAATGGGAAGCTTTGGGTATCTCAAGAGAAGTATATCGAGAAGGTTCTTGATAGATTTAACATGAGCGGTGGTAAGGAAGTCTCGACTCCACTTGCAGGGCATTTTAAGCTAAGCAAAACGCAGTGTCCTAAAAGTGAGAAAGATAAGGAAGAGATGAAAAGGTTCCTTATGCTTCGGCGGTTAGCGACTGATGTATGCGATGGTTTGCACAAGGCCGACATAGCTCATGCGGTTGGTGTTGTTAGTCGGTTTCTCTCCAATCTGGTAAGGAGCATTGGAATCTTTGTGAAATGGATTCTCAGGTATCTTAGGGGTACTTCCAAATTGAG